CCAGTGGGTTGGGGCCCCTCCTTTTGCTGCTGAACCAAGTAGCATAACCTCCACGGCAGCTGACAAATGAAGGGTTAACTTTGATGGAAACAATGGATGAACCTCTGTGATGAACTCTTTGTGGGAAGTTGTTTCCATAGCCAACCATGTAGCTAGTGGCTCTTGGGTTGTCTCCAAGAATGTAGTCCACCTGAAGATTTAACATGTCAAATTTTGCACCGACTAATATACTTTGAATAAATTTTTCCAGAAACACTTATCAAGCTAAATATATGGTCATACATAAGCTAAATGTATAGAAACTCACTCATCTTACCTTTTTCAAAAACATTGTTTTAACTCATGCATAAGTTAAATTAGTTGACGATTTTTTTTCCTATTTTTTTCTACTATAAGCGGTTTTAGTAAAGTTTATCTGAAACATGAAAGTTCAATTGAGTGTATGAAAGTAAATGCAGGACGTGGAATTACCTGAGACTTTGCAAGGGAGAGAAGCTCAGCTGGGGGGACATTGCCTGAACTGCATCTCAAGTTTCTACCAGAAGAAGCAAGGTAGTCAGAATATACAGTGGCTAAAAACGAGGCACTTGTGACAAACTGCATGTTGTTCCATCTCTGGCGGAAGATGAGGCCACCAGGGGTCTTCTGAACATTGCGATTACTCTTTCCAAGGCATGAACACATGAAAGATTCAGCCTTCTGCTGATATCTCTCAAAAACTGGTGAATGATGGCCAGCTTTGCCTTGCATCAGAAACTGCAAGGAAAAAACAAGAAAAGCTGCTTAGTGACTAATGTTGGATAACCAATGTTTGTTTTTTACTTATTTATTAGTGTTACCTTGGCAACTAATGTCTGAACCCCAGCATACTTGACATCCCAACCAAATTCAGTCATGCTCCAACCAGTTCCACCCATGGAATCACCATTTCTTCCAAGGTAATTCAAGTAATATTGATTGTTAGATGCTTGATACAACCATGCAGCAGCCCATAGCAATTCATCCTGCGCATACAATTTACCAAATGCACGTGCACATTAAATTTTTCAAATGGGAAAGTTTTGGATTAGTTTAAATTTAATATAGAGGGGCGAATAAACACAATTAAAGAATAAAACTTACATTGTAGCCACTGATGGATCTGTAATACTTTTGGGCAACCGTAATGCTGCTGTCATATTTGCCTCTGTATTTGTCAGCAAAATCAAACAGCTGAAATTGAACAAACCAAAAAACAGTCAGTTGAGCAGGTCCGGGTAATGGAGTAAAGTCAATCGAGTACTATTATTCACATTAATTCAATAAATTAACCTTATGTTAAGTTGGTGAACATTTATTAAATCAACATCTTGGGTATCCTCATTAATTAGATACAACTAAAATACCCGATAACAGAGGTATCAGATTCAGATCTGGGACGACAGTAGTATTTTACTTAAGGGCCTTATTGAGATCAGAATTTCGGAAGCATCTTTCTCCCTTCATCACTCCTACTCTAATAAATGAATAAATAAATGCAACATGTTTCTCACCTATCAGGAACAGTGACAAGGAATCGAGAAACCGGTGATAGTCCAATGTAACAAATCATACTAGTACTAGTACTACTAAAAAACATTTATTTGTTTTTACTTTTGTTCAGACCCAAAACACATTGATGGTTGAAGTAAATAAATACTACCAAACCACCAAAAATAGCACCGACACTGTGCCCACGTGATATGGCATAATGGCATTACCAAGTTTCAATTGTGTGATGTGAATCCATTTTCAGGGAAAGGTTAGGATCATCCGGGGCTACACAAAGATCAACTCGTACGATCCAAACCGTGACAAAAGGGTAAAAGTGGCCCTTGGGCAACCCATGAGAGACCTGGTCACTCTTCTTTCTTGTCCATGTTCCCATTTAGACATAACAACCAAAATTATTTTTGGACCACAGTCATTAC